GTGTTTGATTCAAGTGACCGAAAACATCTACAAGTGTGCAATAACTTTATTACCGGTGAACTTGAGGAATCATGGTTGCTTCTCAATAATTTTTAAAGTGACGTTCATTTTGTTTCGTGCGATGATTTTCTTGTAAACAGGTTAGTTTGAGAGATCCTCTCCGGTCTGGTGCTGATGACGAGGCACTCAGGGAAATTATAGGCGCTGCTGTACGTATTTAGTTGCTTCATCTGATTTTACCAACCGTCACGAAATATTTCCTCCTTTGTGTTTGAGACTTAATAAAATTCACAATGGGTTTCAGGTGAAGAGGAAGAAAGCCGCACACGCTGGAATGCTTGACATTGCCAAAACAGCTAATAGACCAATGATACACATTGGTGGCTAAGCTCCACTGAACGTAAGTTCTTAAAGCCATTGTTTATGATTAACGAGAACCTGCAATCAGTTAATGTTTAAACATAACTAGCAATTAGATAAGCATTAAACCAACAAAATATCTGATTTGTTATGTAACTCATAAAAATTAGAATACTTCGCTTTCTCGAACAAATTGTATAGTCTTTTAATCTTTGTTTCGATTCAAAGGGTTTTGACACTTGATATCGGCGGTAGCAGAGTCTTTGATGCATTGGTCCGTTTAGTGTTTTACGTGACCCATCGCGTTATATTTCTCTTTACAGGTTGGTGAAGTTCCTGAAAATTCACTACAAGGAACGTTTGAGTTTTATAGATAGTAAGAATCTATCCGCTGGTCCCAACTCTGTGACAAACTTTTTTGCAAACAAGAAGACTGAAGTGTGTCTCAAAATGTTTCTTCTCTGTATACGTAACAGACACTAGAACACCACTGTACAGGAACTCAGAACCTTTTCAGTCCAATTACTTTTCTTATTTATGGCACAAAAAAAATCAAATATAAGCTAAAAACACTTATATATATATTCAGAATTTTTATATCTGAAATTTGATAACAACAACAAATTCACTTGCCATATTAAACAAAGCTAAGTATAAATGTATAATCCTTATATTATTGTATATTAAGAGTTTTGAGATACATGACTTTGTACTCTGCGCTTTTATTAACTTACATAAAAGTAGATATCTTATTAATGCCTTATTCATAATAATATTATTGTATATAGTTTTAGTTAGGTAGAAAGAGCACAAGGCTTCCTGCAAACACATTTGTTGTTGAAGAATCCCTTGCATCGACCATCAGGGAAACCTTCGCTAATACATACTCGCTTGCAATTCCTCCATTTCATGCACAACCCCCTATAGTTTAAGCTTTTCGTTTCGCACAGTTGTGGTTGTCCTTCAACAACCATCTTCATACCTATAAGATCATAGATTTTTTATCCAATAAGAATTCAAGTTTATACCCATAAAGTTAATGAATAAGTTTAACATAAATAATGACTTATGATTAAAAAAAATAACTAGGAAGAAGTATAAGTATATAACGTATATTTTGGTAGATTTGTTTAGGATTCGTATACCTGGTGCGACAACAAGTATGACTAGGAAGAAGAGAGTAGAGATTAACTGCATAGAGCTCTTCATTTTTCTTTTTCTTTTTCTGATGACTAATTAAGCGAAAGAATTAAGAGAGAGAACAAATAGAGCTCTTGGTATTGGAATTAACTTGTAAGAAATAATGTGAAGAGGTTTGCATTTTATAGTAAACAGAAGTATGAAGCTTTGGTAAAATATCAACATACATTATTTATGAATGTGAGAATGAGAACAACAAAAACATGTGGAATCAAATCTGAATTTTTTTTACACCAAAAAAACTGATATTATATATTTAACACCAATTCATATATATATATATATATATATATATATATATATGAGATTATGTTCTTTATATATATCTTGATCTAGTAAAAGGGATAGATACCATTTAATAATTTTCTTACAGAAAAATTATTCCACATCACATTTCTATTTTTTACTTACAAATTACATTTAATAAATTTACTATTATTCTTTATTTTATTTTATTTTATTTTTTTGTCAACATTCTTTATTTCTTCTGAAATAGAAATTTCAATTTTTTTTTAATATATTGAAAATTTTATAACATAAATAAATTATGTTTCAATATTAATCATATTTACAGGTAACATGTTATATTTAAAAATTCTCAAATCCAATGTATCTCTTTTTTTACCTTCTAAAAACTTTCATTAGGCAATTGGTATTACAACAAGTACAAGACCATTACAAAACTTCATAAAACTATTTATTACATAAGCAAAATTATGTGCCATATATTGAAGATGACGAAAGTGAAAAAGTGAATTTGACGATGCTTCCTTTCGATAAGCCTTACTCGCTAACATGATAAACATGTTATGTTCCTTCTTCATAAGCCATCCTACTCGAATGTGATATGTATGCCGTATTGGCATTCTTTGTTTGAAACTCCACATCACATGTAAAAAGCCCGTTGTTCCTAGAATAAGTTTTGAAATCCCGACAATCCGATACCATTTAGTCCGTATCGGTGTCATAGTGCACATTAGAAAGTTTGGCTTGGTACTAGTGTAATCCCATCCTATTATACATCTCAAACCAAAGACGTCGTTGAAGAGCTTCACGACAAATGTCTCCGATGTGATTTCGGGATTCCATATGCGTCGAGGGCCGCAAATTTGCATTAAGAAGCCGTCGGCAACTATTGTCATTAAACCGAGAAGGTCGGGCATACCCGAAAAAAACACCGTGAATGAACCATATCATCATCGCACGGACAATTACGCCTCTGTGAAGAGGAAAGAAAACCCTGAGAGCGAGAATCGAATTGGCATCGGCTATCAATGTGGAGACCCAAAATTGAGACAAACCCAACCATGGATTTGTTAACAAAGGCATCATCATATCCGGATCGCCATGTCCTACGCTACCAGACAATCCCATCACCGAAAAACCATCTCTTACTTTGCCACATGAAGCCATTTCGTCTGCGAGAAGAAGCCAAGCAATAGTAATTGGTGATTTGGTGATAATCACACAAGTAAACACGTCTTTGATTGAGATTTTATTTAGAAACTTAAAACTACAAACAAAACAAAAATAGAAAAGAAAGTACGGCCGACGCTGGAGTCAACGCCGGCCGGAGAAGATAATGAAAAGTTGTATTTGTAAAAAGTCGCCTTCTTGATCGCTTTGGGAGAGAAACGGTTAATCAGATTTTGTACTAATTTTCTCAAATCCAATGTATAACGAGATTTTTTTCCATGTAAAACTTATATATATAGAACAT